TCTCACCAGTACCTAGTATGTCAATATTTATGCTTTCCACTTCTTTCTTAACAATATCTAATTTTCCTATATTCGTGGTTCTCACATTCCATGTTCCAATCACTAGTGTCTGCTTACAACTCTTCCTCTTCCTTTGTATTTCCATACTTGAAAGTTCTACCTCAGTTGCCCTCTCTGATAGTCTTCATGTGTTCTGTTGTATGTAGGATTTTCAGAGGCCCGCTATTTCAGAAGTGGATGGCCAATCCTTCTTCCTAGTCTGTCTTAATCTGAATGTTCAGGTTTAGAGGAGTATCTGACAGACAAGCAATTTATAGAAAAGTGAAAGATAAATTCCTCCTTGTGGAGTTAACCATTAGTTACAGTGTTCTCCCTGCCCTTGGCCCAGTGTCTTGAGCTCTTATTTCCCAGCTCCACCTCTCACCAGGATACCTCTTCACTTCTACCAAATCCCTTCAGCATTTATCTTCCATTGTCCAACCCATGATCTGACAGCTTGTATCTGAAGCTTTCTGGGCTTCTGTGATTCCAAACACATCAGCTGCTGACGCTTTCATTTGTTGTGACCAGTGTCTCTTAAATTTAGTGGTAATGTCTCTGAAGAGAGGGTGATGTGTCCTGTAGAACTGGTGTATAGATTGTATTTTTCTTCTTGGCCCAAGGGCCCAAACAATCTTGGTGTAGCCGTGGGCCTCTTGTAACTGTGGGCAGGGCAAAGATTTTCCCATGAGTGGCTTCTCTATTGGCTGGCACACAGTTCTGCCCCTGGGGATTCCTCTGTCTCCCCTGTTCTGCCCACATGGATTCCTCTGTCTCCCCCTCTGGACGTCCCAGGAACAATCTCAGCACAGCCTTGGGCCTTTTGTACCTGTGGGCGGGGCAAAGTTTTTCCCATGAGTCGCTTCTCTATTGGCTGGCCCCAGGTTCTGCCTGCAAGGGTTCCTCTGTCAACTGACTGGAAGAGACCTATATTTGTTCCCATTCCAAAGAAGGGTAACCCAACAGAGTGTGGAAACTATAGAACAATATCATTGACTTCACATGCAAGCAAGATTCTACTGAAGATTATCCAAAAACGACTGGAACAGCACATCAGCAGAGAACTGCCAGA